GAGAGAGAGAGAGAGAGAGACGCACAGAAAGAGAGAAAGGTGGGAGGGGGGGTGAGGGGTTGGTACAGTGATGGAACACAGACAAGACACAACAGATCAGACAGGAGAAAGGACTGTATTTTGGGGGCAAGTGAGGAAAAAAGCAATTCCAAAAGTATTATCCAATCATAGAACATAAACTCTACTCACTACGTTCAGATTATTATCAAAGGCCTTGACATTGTACAAGCTGTTTTGCGTGTGCTCCCACAGAGAGTAATAATGTACTGCGTATCATTTACACACAGGATGATCTATTCAAAATGATGGCAGCAGCAGGTCACATGCATACAAATAAGTAGATTAACTAACAACAGCATGTGTGTACATCATCATAATGACCATTTTATCCTCTACAATACTTTCAAAACCCGACATGATAATTCCACATTGTCTTATTCGCTAACACAGCAAGATCTAGATCTAGATCTAGATCTAGATTTTTCTAGATCTAGAATCTAGATCTAATCTAGATCTTGATATATCTAGATCTAGATCTATATCCCTAGTTAATGCAGTTGGAGAGTTATAATCAAGAGTTCTGAGAAAAATGCCACTTTACTTTTTTATTATTAAATCAACGGATGAAAAGATATGCCCTAAACAAATAACCTAAATAAAATCTTGACACAGACAGAGGTATATATATCAAAGGCGTTAATGCTACACTAGTACCACAAAAACAAGTTGCTATAGGTAAATAGCAAACAAACTCATCAATAAAATGAGAACTTTGTACAGCAAGCGATTCAAGTTTTATAATACAATACAAAAATAATAAAATAGCTGAACTGCTGAACAACAAACAGGTTATACAATCTAATCAAGAATATTGGCTTGTTGCACACAGTATTTGATTTCTGTTTAGATCTATTTGTCGAGTGTGTGCTTAAATGTTGCATTTGTATAGCCTACTGACAACATCTGTGGTGTGGGAAGCACCTCTTCCTCTCTTCACGCCCATTCATCAGATTTGGCCTAAATTCTCTAGGCCTAGGCACTGAACGAACAGAGCTCACGTCAAGCAAAATAAGTACACTAACCTTCACAACATTCTGCAAGAACAAATCTTACCTTCTTTCTGCATTGTTGGTGCTCAAATGCTTTGGCAAACATTGGAGTCAGCAGAAGAAAAGATATTAGAACGCTTTTATTATTAAAGGAATCTTCCACCACTTTTCACTCACTTCAGATCAACACAAAACAGCACAGCTGCACAACTGTCAATGGGCGCTATCATTTGAAAGCAGGGTGGGCTCTTCTCAAATGTTAAAGATTATTAACGTTCCAATAATAATGAAGAAAATTCACTTGGCAAAAAAAAGGTTGTATCTTATCAAGCAGAGTTAAATGAGGTTATTCTTACAAATTCTTAGCATTGCACTACTTTAACTTTAAAAAACGAATACACGCAGTCATCCTTCCACCCCTGTTTAGCGAGTAGGCACAGGGCAATACCCTTTGTTCCCGGGCCGAATCTATTTCTGGAAACCATGCGCCGCCTGAAAAGGGGTGGAATAGGCATTGGGCGGGAAGAAAGTGGGGCACAAATGAAGGGGAGTAACTCAAACAAATAAACTGACCACTGTGGTCATATCACGCGTACAGTCCCCTTTCAATGTCACGCCACCTCGATGAATCGACTTCATCAATATTGGACTCTACAAAAGTGATCTAAATTTTAATAATTCTGTTCGACGCCTTTTCATTCCATTCTCTTTTTCTTTGAACAAAAGAAAACAAAAAGTGAAAGACAACAGCAGCAATAGCAACAACAAGCTGTTTTTTTGTTTGTCACTCAATCGAAAATGCACAAGTAGGCCTACATTCCTTCTCGTCCACTCCTGACCACTAACTGAAAAGGTGTCGACAATTCGGCAGGCACAAAGTTCTACTTGGAAACATTGCATTTTCTTTTCTTAATCATAAGCTCTCAATTTCGTTACTTACTGTTAAAAATTCTTTTTATGTTGTTGTTGGTGGTGGTGGTGGCGGTGGTGGGTTTTTTTTATTTTATAAATTGTTTTGTTTTTTTTTACTTTGTTTTGTTAGATTTGTAGGTTGTTGGGTTATTTTTTATACACTTGAACGTTTTCAAGCAGAACAGACTCTTGACGCAAAGAAATAACATCTTAATAAGTCATAGAATTCGCGCATTTAAAGCATTTTCCTCCTGACATAAGGCGCATTACTATTATTGACCTACTGTTATTTGTTGCTTTAAAATATTTAAGATATTTGTTGGGGTTAGAATTTAATATCATCCTCTTTCAGAATACAACATGCATTCTGTTGCGCACACATGGGAGTGCTTTGGACGCAATGAGACTGGTTCTGTACACGAGTAAGCAGGTTATTTTGCTTTTGGTTTGAGGGAACCTACTACTATCAATCCCTATATACAATAGGTTTATATTATAATCCATGGTGTCCTATCCCACACCCGCGTCTCTCTCTCTCTCTCTCTCTCTCTCTC